TGGCTGGCTGTCCGCTGGTTGGCGGCGGCGGCGGCGGCGGTGGCCTGTCACTGAGGTCCTGTCAGCGGTCAGGGCTACTCAGGGCGGAGAACTAACACTAGTTAGACTTTAGTTAACAGAGTGATTAATTACTGGGCTCCGACTCGACGGAAGAGCGGAGGAGTGACGACGAGGAGGGGCAGTTGTTCGTTGAAGAGTGAACACCTCTAGGCTCTGGAATCTGGAGTCCTAGACAGATCATTGTCATTGAGTTAGGATATTTTGGAGACTGGATAGACCCAAGTCAAAGACCGACAACAAGCAAGGGATCGGGGACCGCTGGATTCCCACGCGTTCGGGGTTCCCAAATGTGGACGGCGTCTCATTGTCCAATACCTATGCAGGTCGCCCGCAGGTGGTCTGGGAATGGCGTGGTCGGTCCGACGTTGGAACTTGGGGACGCGAGCCAGGACGCTTGGGGTTTGTGGAGATTGCCTGAAACGGGGGAGGAGCACATTAGACGATTGTTAGAAATGGAGGTTTGTAAGATTTCGAATGTCACTGAGTCGAGTTGGGTCGAGTTGCGTGAGAATGACAGCCCAAGAGCCCATGAGGAGCTCCATGTTCCTGCTCAACTATTGTCCATAGCAAGAGGATGTGGGAGAAAGAGAAGACGTTGTTGATTCTGATCATGTAGCAAACCTCGCCTGGACTGCAACTTCCAAGAGGCAATGGCAACTTTTCCTCAGCCGAACCGAGAGTCTCCTCGGAGCTTGCAACTCTAGACACCACAACCAGAGTCTCTAGAAACTCCACGACTTGTTTGATGACGGGAATCACTGCCCGAGGTTCGGGTTTCGGGGCTGGCGCGCTAAGACATGAGAACAAGATTCACCCCCATCGTCTGTTCCCCTCCTCCGTTGCAGCCTTCATCCTGTGCTCCTGTGCTCCTCTCCCTCCACCTCCACCACCCATTACTACCATGGCACCATGCACATTGCAGCGTGCACCGCTAGCTCGGCCTGCCATCCCCTGCCTCCCTGTCCTTTCCCTGTCGCCTTTCCTCCCGAAGCCGCCCATCTGGCTGAGGTGAGCAGGCCGTGCAGCGACACCCAACCCAGTGAACCCACCAGCTAACCCCCAACCGAGCGTTGTAACACAGAATGGAACCTTGGAGGAGGGGAGAAAAAGAAGAAAAAAACCTACCACTGCTGCGTAGAGAGTGTGTGAGAGAGCGCCAGACGCCGCCGCCAGGATGGTGGAGGTACCTCAGAAGCAGGCGGGCACGGCCGGCGGCGGAGGCGGCGCGGTGTCTCTCGGCCTGTGAAGAAAATTCCCCATACCTCTGTGCAGCGTGCAGTGCTGATTACTGAAATAAGACGTGTCTGCCTTCCACACCAGCCTTCCCACCTTTGGTTCCTATCTTCCTTCTTCTCACCTCTTCATTTTCTTCCCTCCTTCAACACCAAAATCGACCAAATCGCTCTCCTCCCTGCTGATAAAGTTCTGCCACGCGCCAGACACCCCAATTGCATTTCCGTCAAATACACAAAAAGCCACAGGCACCCAAAAGTTTTTAACCACCCTTGATACCCGTCGCTAGCGCGTACCGCACACACCCCAGCTTTATCATCACAGGCGAGGAGGAGAGCTCAACCACCAAACTTCTTTTTCCCTCCTACACACTTCGGTCCACCACCGCCCACACCAACGAACGAGCTTCGGACCCTGTCGGAATCACCACTCCAGCATATCTTTCGAGACCTTTTCCACTCGACTCATTTTTTATACCCTCAAAATGTTCGCTACCAGAGTCCTCCGCCAGGCCGCCGCTCACGCCGAGCGTACCCCGAGCATCAAGTTCCTTGGCCGCCGCTCCATTCCTTGTACGTCTGCTCTACCAGAAGTCCTCACCAACGTCCCGTTCCCACGATACTAACAAGACCTCACCAGCTTCCATCGACCACAGCCCCGCGCCTCACCCAGCTTCGCCCACCGGCAAGCTTCCCGCCAACTTTGGCAACGGCTCCGCCTCCCCCAAGCACACCAGCTTCAGCTCCTACCGCGACCACGCCCAGCAGCACGGTCCCCTCCAGCGCACCATCGGCTCCGGCGTAGGCGGCTCTACCGGCCACCAGCTCGGCTCCGTCGTTCCTCCCTCTGGCGTCGCTTTCGACCGCTCCGAGCTCCCTGCCCGTTTCCGCCGCCAGCCCCTCGACATGGCTGAGATCGAGGCTGTCGAGTCCGGCGGCGCTGCCCTCTTCGGCTGAGTGTGATGTCGGAACGACGAACGGAAAACGGAACGCGCCCTTGTGACCTCACGGTTAAGGGAGACATTATTTACCATGACATCCGCGGGCTGGACTACGAAAAAATGAGCGATGATGGCGCGGAGACGAGGAAGAGACGGAACGGGGTGGAGAGTTGGCGAGGTTCACAAAAGTAGGCGATGACAACACGTGTGTACGAAAGGACGAGATTACAGCGACGGTGGACATCCCACCCTCCGCGTAGACCGTCGACCACAAAAGCTCCCGGGATTGGGGCATTCGGCAGGACACGGAACAGTCGGCAATATTGATTCGTCACGGCACGCTCGTGACCAACGGCAAGGGAAAAGTTACTAAAGCTATTTACTATGGCGGCTTCGTGATATCCATTACAATGGAAGCAATTCCCATCCGTCAAGTAAGAAGCTTTGCTGGGATACTATGGGAGTTTCTACTGGGAGTTCATCCAACACCCAAGCGGACACAGGCATCAAAGACCTGTCTCTTGCTTTGGCCATTTTCTATACCTAGTCTTCAACTTTTCCTTTTACCGTCGACGTCAGGATCCTGTACCGATAGTCTAGACTCGTCACACACACCAACAGACCCCGTGCATAAAAGCAAGTTTACTTCAACATCTTCCGAACTCTTTTCGTGATCATGTGTGCCGAGCCGAGCTTCATTGAAATCAATCCCATGTGATGATGCTTCCCTGAGACTATTCAGAGTCTATGTGAAGCACCTGCAGCTAATGTAATGTAACCGTCTTTCGGAACTACGAGCCAATGCTTAGCAGGCGCGGCTTACCACCTAGTTGGCCCGCATGTGATAGGCTCTCTCTCCCGCAGCTTTGGAGAAACGCGCACCCTGCGTCCGTAGCTCCGGGAACAGCTTGGGGAAATCGTGCCACGTTTGATTTCCCTTGGCCCATGGGGAAGTTCTGGTCTGTTTCTATAGGCACATGCAGGTGTTATAACTAGGTATCCTAAGGTTAGCTACTGGGCACCTAAGCAAAAACGCAGCTTGGACGTAAAATCCATCCGCTAGATTCCTGGAGGCTTGAGCTACCCGCTTCCGTCAATTCCCGAGGTAGCCGACTTGCCAGCGTCCACCCGAGCTTGGAGCCTCAGCCACCGATTTTTTGCATTGTGACCTGTGTCCGAGGCTTGACGTCGGTTGCTGGTCCGTGCAGAATGGCACCCGTACGTGTCTAGATGTACAATGATTTTATGAGTCTCAGTGATATCAAGGACCGCTTTGCGGTTGCTTCAACTATGAGGCTCTCATGGTCTATGGAAGACAATCAGATGAAAGAAACACATGTGAACAATGGCTATAGCCACTCACAGGAGCAAATGTACGACTAGATGTCCCTGGAATTCGGTCCGCCTTGGAGGAAATATCGTCTTGCAGGTACTTACATCATATATCTAAATCGAATTTTTCTACCTTTCCTTCTGAGAAATACAGGTAATCTCAAACTATTCACAGCTTGGAAGTCAATCCCAACATACCCCATGCCCCAATAACAATCCCCGACGTGGCTCTAAACATAGCTGATCCCAGCTCACCCTCCCGCCAGCAAACGTACCCGTCAACGAGCCCAACGTACACCAGCAAAGCCATGACGATGTCTACCCCCACGAAGTCCCCGCGAAGATACATGATTAGCTGGACCATCCCTAGGATAGATAGGCGTGCGCCGTCGAGGATGAAGCACGACTGTGCTATGGGTGACTCTGCGAATCTTTCTGGCAGCCCGAAGGAACGAATTCCAGCATCTTGGGCGAAGAATGGGACGATGCCGCCGAGGGCGTGGGCGATTGCGACGAATAGCGGGAATAGATGGGGGAGTCTGAACTGGCTCGACATGGTTGCTTGCATTTTGACTTTACCCAAGGCATCCAACAGCAATATAAATAGAATTAAAGGTAGTCTGACGGCACGAATCTATTCCGACTTTCTTTTCATCAACAGATTATGCTAAGTAGAGAGAACCTACGTAGTATCACGTGGTAGTAAGCACTAAAGCTCACCGAGGCAGAAATCCTAGGGATAGCATCAACAGGCTTGACTGAGGCGATCTCTGTGTAAAAGCACCAGCCACATATTGATAGCTTGAGCCACAGGTTGTCGGTGGAATATCGGATCGTGGATCCAGCAGCTCGGGAATTTGCTGACACATCAATCCGCCAGAGCTTCCATGGACCGTGGCCATCCCGGCGTCATCGGAAGCACCCGACAGACAGTCCCATCATCCAACCGCCCAATCAAACGGCGTCAATCACATCATCCCAAAATAAAAATTAACAGATGCGCATGGAAGACACAGACAGAAAAAGTCTCCACCTAAAAAGTCGTTGCATCCCGCTCGTTCGTCGCGGAATCGTGAATCAACCCCCTTCACGAAACCAGCCAAGAACCAACGAAACGAACGCGCCCTCTCCCTTGGGCTTTCAGCTGCGCCAACGCAGACATTCAATGCGGTTCCCGTCGCAAGACCCCTCCCAGCTACGACGCCCCAAGATCTAGACAAACAAAGAAAGAAACACCACTGCAACCCTATCCCCGGGTTCTGGATCTAGGCCCCCGTCCCGCATCTGGTTACCTATCAAGCCGCCAAACCTATCAAGGGGTTCATAAAGGATCAGATCCCTTTGCCCCTTCGTTCTTCGAGGGCTTCCATTCCTGGATATCTCTGACTGGTATGAACCATACAACCTTTACTCAACTACATACCAAACCTCCACAATGAACGCCGATCTCGTAGACCTCGTTTTCCTAACCCGCTTCCAACCTTCAGCAGCTACCATATCCTCCTCCGTCGCAATCGACTACGAAGACCATCCTCACCACACAATGTCAGACTCCAGCAACGGCGCCGCACCCGAGACGTGCCCCGTCGACCACAAGGCCCGCGAAGCCTGGCTCCAGCACGCCCGCGCCGCGAACCCAGACGCTGCGCAACCTCCTCACCCGCCGCACCCGATACCCCCGACCCAGGCGGGGTCACCACAGTCCCAGGATGCGCAGTCATCATCGTCCTGGACGCAGTCTCTACTGTCTCTGACGCCCTTCTCCTCTTCCTCGGCGCCGCCGCCAACGTCTACGAACGCCCCCGCGACACAAGCTCCCGCCGCCTCCGCCGATGCCGCCGCTGAAGTCTGTCCCGTAGACCACAAATCCCGCGAGGCCTGGCTCGAACAAGCCCGCACCGCCTCCGCGAACGGTTCCTCAAATCCTCACACACCACACCCCCACCACACTCTCGAAGCCGCGCCATCATCACCACAGCCCTCGCAATCATGGGCGCAGTCCCTAAAGTCATACATCCCCTTCACCTCATCAGCAACAACCACACAATCAAACACACCAAACCTCCCACCATCCACGCCCGCCAAATCAGGCCTCGACACCGAGCGCGAAGTCTCGACGATTCCTAGGACTGCGACGTCAGCGTACCCGGGCACCAGCCGCCCCTCTAATCACGAGCAGGAAACGGGCTCGGACGAGGCGACGGGGAACTGGATATACCCTTCCCAAAAGATGTTCTTTGACGCCATGAAGCGCAAGGGCCACGATACCCGCGCGCAAGACATGGCGACCGTGGTGCCGATTCACAACGCCGTCAACGAGAGGGCGTGGAAGGAAATTAAAGAGTGGGAGGCGCCTTACCTCGAAGGCACAGCGTAAGTCATGTCTCCTACCATGGTTCTGGATTCAATCCAGCCCGTCCACCATCAAAGAACGAAGTAGAAGAGACCTAACACAAGCCCATAGCTGCGACGGCCCCAAACTACACTCTTTCCTCGGCCTCAGCACAAACATGTCCCCCAAGGCGCGCGTGAATACCCTGCTGGGCTACACCCCGCCCTTTGACCGCCACGACTGGGTCGTCGACCGCTGCGGCGTACAGGTCGAGTACGTCATTGACTTCTACGCCGGACGCCCCGACGCACGCGGCAAGCCCAGCTTCTACCTGGACGTGAGGCCGAAGCTGAATAGCTGGGAGGGCGTAAAGATGAGGGCTTTGAGGGGTGTTGGGTTGGCTTGAGAGGGGAGGGCATCGGACCGCTTCCGTCTGGGCTCTGATGGCTTTCCCTACGCGAGAGGCGGTTGAGAGTGTATAAAGATGTGTAATAATGTACAAATACTTGCAGCATTGGGACTGGCGTATCGATCTTGTCTTGTAGAAAGGATATCCCAGGGACCACCAAGAAAGAACTACTCAATTTCAGACAATCTCTTCACGACGTTGTCGACTGAAATGGATGCGACCATGACATTGCAGCCTCAGCTGGAACGAACCAACTCTCGTCACTATCAAAATCTGCGAAGGCAGATATGCTCTGTCACTCCTCCGACATCTAGAGGGAACATTTTCACTCCGAGATGTAACCCAAGAATAACTCTGCAGTTTATATGTGAATCGGACAATTGGAAATCGTTCAAACAAAGCCGTTCTCTCTTTACTAATAGTTATCTGGGGGAAGGTAAAGAGCTGAGGGCTGAGATCCCATCTCAAGATTCCGTTTGGGCCCCTTTTTCTTGGAAGTCTTATCTACCAAGTTCTCAACAGTATATTTTGCACATTATCTTAGCGTGCCTCGGAGAACGCCATCAACAATGAGAAATCACCCACGAAATGCAATTCGCACGTCATCGCGCGAATAATAACAGGCGTGGAAACCCAGACGCATCCCGACGCGTGCACGCCCGCTTTCGGTTCCGGTCTCGACATGGACAGCGACGGCTGCAGGGGCCCGGGGGCGAAGATCGGGATCCTGTAAGAGCCGAACACCCGCAGCCAGTCCGACGTTACTTGGCACCATGGCGCCGGGGATTTATGCCTGGTGCTAAACGAAACTCCAGTATAGAAAGTTATTCAGTTGTCATTTGTGGAGAACATGACTGTCTATACAGTATGCTATACTTTGAATCGAAGAAAGGTTTATTAGGCGACGGGGGAATCTACAATACTATCTCAGAAAGGTAGTAGCGCCGGGTATTCAAGTGCATGGCTACGTATCCCATGGCGTAAGCGTGCCATATGCCCTCGTACGGGTGACTGTTCTTCAGAATTGCCCTGGACCGATTGTACGCAACTACGGTTTCCAGAATGGCGGATTCTAGTATAGACAAGGGACTTTGGTTTAGACTCAAGGCTTGTTTATGGATATAGTTCCTGATTTCACCTGCCTTTTCCTCCTTGTAAAATCTGCAATTCCATGTTAAGATTCTAGTTGCTTTTCGGTCATCACAAGTGAAGGGACGAGCACTTACGATAATATGTCATTGGTCAGATTGATAAACTTGCCCATCTCGGGCGCAGCCGGCAGGAAGCACGCGATATCCGGACATGTCTCCTTGTAGAAGCAGAAATAGGTATACACCTCTGGGAGGCCCTCTTTATCTCGAAAATAGTAGGGCCAGCTGACTGTCTCTTTTGACAGGACGATTGTGTGGTACTGCGGCCGGATCTCAATAGCGTTGGAGTTGACAAAGGCTAGAGCGGATAGCACGATTAAGTTGGCGACTATTGGGTCGTAGTACTTCTTCGTCGACTTGAGCACTTCGGCAAAAGCTTGTAAAATTGCCGAGGGCTGCTGTTCTCCCATCAGAAGCCGTGTCTGGAATTGTTCTAGGTCTGGCCCTAGCTCGACGTTCTTGTCGTCGATGATGAAGCCGTACCAGGTGAAGAGACCGATGTGGATCTGGATTTCGAGGGGGTGGAGAGGGTACATTTCCTATCGAGAGAGTTCAGAAGTGTCAAGGGGAGCACGTTCATGTAGAGCCTACGGCAGCGACAGCTAGTCCGGCCTCGAATCGCATTTGCGAGGCATCGTCGGCTTCGAGATGGACACCGCCCCGGAGAGCTCTGTCGAGGAGAGCTATCCTCAATGCTTTCTTGTCAACTTCTGGAGGCGAGACGTAGTTGATGGCATTCAGAAACGTGGGGATCAGACATGACAGCGTTTGCCGAAGATCCGCGCCTTGATCAAGTTGATCGGTCTGGACTACCATCGGTGGTTGAAGCATATTGCTATCACAAAGGCTGCAGTCTATGATGCTGATCAAAGTCCGAGTTCACCAACCAGTGGAGGGGATGAGGCCCACTGTATCTTTTCAAGTCTTTGTCGTTTGAAGAGGAGCCACCCCGAGTCATACAGCCTGAATATCATTGATCAGTACGGATACACGGAATGGACCCCGTCTCTTCACCGCCGCAAAGGGGCATATTGGCTGCCTCAAATCTTCCATCTTGCAGACATGAGGCCCCACGGTATGCGGAAGGAAGGAATCAATGCATCCCCATCACACTAATAGTTCTCAGCTCGTCTTATCATAGGTTGTCGGTGCGAGCTTACGGTCAGCGACGCAGCGCGCTAGCTCGGCGTAAGCCGGTCTAGCCCTGGATAATCGCGATATCCACTCCTTCAATATTATCATGGGTGTTGGGTTACAAGGGGTACCAAAATGGACTGGAAATATTGATTTTTCTGCCTGCTTTATAGCAAGTTCTAAAGTGATGCCTAAACTCTGTATTCGTCTTCTTCAATCGGAAGGCATCCCCGCTTCTCATTTCGAGTCGTCCTTGACAATTTTATATCGAGAAAATGCTTCCTTTACTGTATCAGTCCGCAATTACGTTACCTTGGAAATCGCTTGGCCAATTCCTCGGTCTCATAGTTTCCGTGTACTTGATTATCACCACCTTGAGATCGTGGTTTCGTTTATCGCATATCCCTGGCCCTTTTCTCTCTTCCCTATCTTATTGGTCTATGTTTCGGATCCGCACTCGAGGCTCTCGAGGGTACCTAGAGTACGTTAACCTATCGACAAAATATGGCGAGCTTGTCCGCATTGGCCCCAATGACTTGATTACGTCTGATGTACAACTCATCAGGCGCATGTCGGCGGCTAAGTCAACTTATGGGCGGAGCAGCTGGTACAAAGCTACCCGGCTGGACCCATATCACGATATGATGGGCAGCGTACTCGATAAGTCTGTCCATCATGCCTTGAGAACAAAGCTTCAACCGGGATACCAAGGCAAAGATATTCCTGGGTTAGAAGCCAGCATTGATTCTGGTATATCGGACTTGGTGAGCTTGATTCGAGAAAGTTATGCCACCAAGCTCTCTCCGTCGGGAGCAGAAAATGCAGAGAGTAAAGGGCTTCCAGAGCAGAAGCCTGTTGACTTTGGTCGACTGGCGCACTACTATGCTATGGATGCTCGCTCGAGGATGTCGTTTGGACAGCCCCTTGGGCTTCTTCGGAAAAATACAGACGTCTTTGGGTTGGTTGCTATGTCAAACTTGGCCATAGACATCTTGCAGTTCTTCACGGATATTCCGCCGCTCCAACGGATTTTCACATCGGATATTGCTCTACGGCTTCTTGGCCCCAAGACTACAGATAAGAATGGCTTTGGAAAGATCATGGGGTAAGTCCTTTGCATTTGCTATGCATGTTTTATCCCGTCGCCTCTGCTAGAATAACAAAACTAATGTGGACAGACTTGCCAAAGAACACGTTGCCTCTCGATTTGGTCCTGACGGGAAGGATGAGCCTGACTTACTTGTAAGTTATCAACTGCTTTAAGATAGCCTAAAGAGACTTTTGTAGTCCACTAACGCGAACTCGACAGGGGTCATTCATACGTCGCGGCCTTGATCAGCGCTCAGCACAGTCCGAAATCATGTTCCCGATGGTTGCTGGCTCTGACACAGCAGCAAAGGCCATAAAATGGACGATGCTCTATATCCTTTCTGACCTCTCTGTGTATGGGTCTCTTGTAAAGGAGGTTGAGGACGCAATCTCAGAAGGAAGGATATCAGACCCCATCACATATAAAGAAGCTCAGGAACTGCCATATCTTCAAGTAAGTCAGAGTAGGAAGAGCCGGTCTGTTCAGTTTACCTTGAAACCGTCTACTAATCATTGTCGAAAACAGGCAATCATATACGAGTCCCTCCGTGTGAAACCACCTTTTGCTGGTCTGGTAATGAAGCAGGTTGGGCCCGAGGGTGATATCTATAAGGGTATCAAGCTGCCTGCAGGCACCAGAATTGGGCACGACGTGACGTCGGCGACCCACGACAAGAGACTCTTTGGCCAAGATGCTGAGGTATTCCGGCCTGAGCGATGGCTTGAGGCCGATGCTGAGACGGTCAAGTCGTGGAAGAAACAGACTGAGCTCGTGTTTGGCGCTGGCCGATGGCGATGCACAGGCAAGTCTGTCGCTTTCTTGGAATTGAACAAGATATTTGTCCAGGTGAGCAATTCATCCTGATCTGATTGCACGATACGGCTGCTTGTGCTAATCCTATGCGTTAGCTCATTCGGAACTTTGAATTCCAGCCTTCGGATGCTGAAATGTTTGTAAAAATCTCCGATCGTGGGAAAGTGTATTAGGAAAGCAGGCAGGTCTCGAGATGGATGTTTATGACTGCTTGACGACCTAGTTTTACGAGACATGACTATAAAGGTTGGGTTGTTTTGGTCCCGAGGAGTTTAATAATATAATGGCGCGATACTATCTCATCCCATAGACCCCCAAAATCAATCAACGCCCTTTAAAGTCGCTGCATTCCCAGCAAGACTCAGGCATCTCTACACCGTGAACACCAACAGAAATACCAATCTACCTTGGTGGTTATTTCGACTGTGGCCATTAGTCATGGCGACTCAGTAAATTTCGAACGGTGTCAATGTTATTATGTTACTACCTCCCCGAAAATGGGCCAACTCGGTGGTCCGTCCACTTCGGCCGAGATCGGGCAGGTTGGTCAAAAATTTGCGCAATTGCATAATGAAAATGCGTCTTCTGCGCCCTGTACTCCCTCTGAAATGACAGTATCCCCATTGTTTTTGTTCAGTCCACAGTTGAATAAGTGAAGAGTGCAGCCTGCCTGCTTGGTGGTTCAAGGCCATAAGTCACCAACCACCAAACTAGAAACTCACGATGTCGACCACGACCACAGTGGAGCTGGTCAACGCACCAGCAACACCACTGCCACAACTCTCAGCTTCCACATCAACATTATCGCA